ACGTTACTTTGCGCCATCGCTTTTAGCAACTAGGGACATATAGATATCAGTCAAGCATTTTGAGTGTTCACCAACGTTTGAGTGACTAAGAAAGCATAGTGCGAGTACTGCTGAAGGCCCTGGCGGATGCTCAAAACATTGACCGCTTCCGCAAAGTATAGCGCACTTTGACGATGGCTATTCAGTGGTGTTCTGAGGGTACCGACTTATCTTTTCAGCGCAACTTTACGAAAACTCACATTTGTAAGCACAAGATCACTCTTTCGTTTAACATGAATTACTCATCTTCCATTCCACCACTTATTGGTAGGTATACTTGGTATAATCATTGGCAATACAATTTCGCGGTCACCCATGATAAACAGAGTGGTAATTTGCTGACAAACACTGCTAAATTTTGCAAATAATGCTACTTGTAATTCAGAGGTTCAGGCAGGTTCGTTAGACATGATAGTCCTTTCCGCGCAAGCGTACGGGATGTACGATTGTCTCAAAGGCAGTTGGCACGATAAATCGCTATACAGATGTAGGATTTATACGACTGGCTTAACAGAATTCCGTGACCTCGGACAGGCGCTCCGTGGCGCCTTTTCCAAGGAGGGTACCCCTATAACGCCCTATCGAGCAACAACATTCCCAAACGCCTTCCTTGCCCGCCCGCCCACAAACGGACGACCGTTCCTGACGCTCGTATTCATTCATTTGCTAAGCAAATTATGAAGCAAAGGGATTGGTATGAAGCGGCCGTGATGCTGCATGCATACATGGGTACACATATGCAGCCGTATCTTCGGTAGCGGTGATTGGCAAGATGCGTACGGGAAACTCGTCCGAAATCGATTTACAAGTCACTGAGAACGGAGGCTTTTCTTCGCCGGATTTTGACCGTTTCACTCCGTTCTTTCGCCATTTCCCCACTACGTAGCGCCCTACTGCATTCTAGGCCCAGTGGGAAACCATTGTGCCAACTGCCTTTAACTCAGAAACACGTGAAAGCGCGACCCGCGGAACCATGGCTCGGCAACGCCCACTTTTCACTCCTAAACGTATCTTGGTGGTGAGCTTGTTCTGTTGCTAACGTTCTCCATTCTAAATGGTGAGGGTGAGGTGATGAGAAGAAAGAGCCAGCACCAGCAAGTGTGGAGGTAAGAAGAAAGAGCTATCATCCATGTGCGAACTTCCTGCACACTTTCCATCGTCATATGCACGTACAGGCGCGATTCAGCAGGGGAAGGGGTAGTTTATGTAGGACTTCTCGAGCAGGTTTTCATGGTTTTCTCTTCACTATTCTGTTTATGTCATCAGCTCTTGAGCGCACAAATCACCATTTCTGGACCGAAGGTGTGCCTTCAATCCATGTCGCTGTGTCCTTCCTTACCGCACGATTCCTCGATAAGCCTTAGTTCGTTTGTGGCTGAAAAACGGCCCTAGAAAATGCCCCACGCCTCGTTGCTCACATATCACGCAAAGCGCTCATATCAGGCGACTAGTCGCGAAGTTTCAAGTCACGAAGTTTCGATGCACTCTTAGATTTTCTCAAGGTTTTCTTCTTTAGTGTTCTATTTTTGGCAATATTTTCTGGGCACTACTTGGAGGGGACCACCAGACACTACTGGCTCTATCCCTTCGCGTTCCTCTAAGACTGAGTAGAGCGCGTTCAGACTTCGCGATCGCGCGATCCGATCGCGCTACTGGGATGGGTGAAATTCACACCGGGGGTCATGTTTGTTCATGCTTTATTGTTCCTGTTCTCTTTTAAATAAACACAATAAACATGAACAAACATGACCCCCCGGTGTGAATTTCACCCATCCCAGTAGCGCGACCCGCACAACTACATTGGTGCCTTTCTATCTTCTCGAAACCCTAAAACTACTGCCGTGTATTGTGTAGATTTACTACTCTTACCCTCAAGTGTTCCAGAGACCATGGTCTTCAAACGTATGGTACAAATTGGTCGCGTTGTTTTCATCGCAAAAGGGAAAGATGCCGGCAAAATCGCCACCATTGTCGATGTTGTTGATGGAAACAGGGTGAGTTGATTAGGCTGCTTTCATACTTCGTTGTGAACGTTTGGAGCCACTAGGAAGTAGAGATATTGATCCAGCGTTTCAGGCGTACGACAGCGTTTTCAGCGACTCGCAAAGAGTTCAAAACGCTAGATCGATACCTATACTTTGCTAGTCCGTCGAAACTCCCGTGCGCTGCTCAAAACGCTGCCTTACGCTGACGTACGCTAGATCGAATACCTATTTTCTCAGTCGCTCAAAACCCTGACGCAGAGTGAGAACGCGGCCTTACTTCGTTTTTTCTTTGGTTTGCCAATGCAAATGTTTGTTCAGGTTCTGATTGATGGCCCCAGCACTGGAGTTATTCGTTGCGTCCGAAACCTGAAAGATCTGCAGCTGACGAAATTTGTTGTTAATGTTCGTGTCGGACAAAGAACGAAGAAAGTCAAAGAGGCATTTGATAGCGCCAAAATCAGTGATCAGTTCAAGCAAACTACTTGGGCTAAAAAGATCGCGCAGAAAAAAATCGTAAGTACTTCATGACTTCACTATTAGAGTTTTTACATCTTTCATCATTACAATCTTAGTTTACCTTTACATTGATCGAATATTTTTCGCCTTTCCTTTTACTTTTTTATGTTCATTCATTCATTTATCTATTTATTCACCTATAATTGTATTAGGTTGTCCGGAAAGTTCTGCACGTTTCGAGTCATAGCTTTCTTAACACTCATCGGATTTAATCCAAATAAGCACCATTCGAATCAGCACACTTTTGCCAATGTGGCAGCAGTCGAGAAATCCCATCAAAGAAAGGAAAAAACTGGGGTCGAGCAATCCATGAAAGCTTTTTTTGCCTGGAAGATGATTGCAAGTATTTTCCAGGCAATGGGAGTTCTGAAAATGTTTGAAAAGGTGATAGTCGATTGGCGAAAGGTCTAAAGAATATGGCGGTCGAGGTAGAACTTCAACCCCCAATTCGTTCAATTTATAGAGTGATCTGTGAAACTTGTGGGCGGGCGTGGTATTGCAAAATGAAATCTGACACTTTCTGTTGACAAGTGCTGCTGGCAGGCTAACGAATTTTCGTACACTTTCGATGAATTTCTTCACAGCAGGGTTCTGCTGTGATGGTTTGGCCTGGTGATAAAAGATATAGTGGATCACACCAGCCGATGACCACCAAGCCGTGACCAGAATCTTTTTTCTGTAGGGGTCGCCTTTACCTCGGTATGCGCTTGGATATCTAATCACTCACTCCCGAACGTCCTTCGTTAATCATTCATGATGCATTTTATCAGCAGCTTGACAATTCGCGTTTAAAACGAGTGTTCGTTCGCCAAAGCGGGAAAGAGGAAACCGCGAGACGTGCCAATTTCTGCCGGTCACTCAAATTGTGGGGCACCCACTTATCGAGTTTTTTCACCTTCCCAATGCGTTTCAGACCATCTGCAACACTGGATTTGCCAACGCCTAGCTTTTCTGCAATCTCTCGAACTGTTTGGGATGGGCCAGCCTCCAAAATCCCCTTAAAATCCTCGTTCAGATATTGCTTTAGGTCGACCGCTATGAGGTTCATTTCAAGGCTGACATCTCCAGAACAAATTTGTTGAGCCATTGCGCACAGTGCTTTCTCTAGCACTAATGGGCCCCCACACCTGGTTAATTTGTTGAGCTGTTTCGATGCGGATTGCCCCAATTTATAGGTAGAAAGGAAAAAATCGTACCGAAGTGCCTTCATCACATGCCTGGAAAATATAGGACTGTACTGGCTGCGACGCAAGGCTAAGAGTGAGTTTTATGTCAGCAATGAATGTTCCAGAAATAGCACACAACGGCCACTGAACGGACAACGCTACACTATCGTACTGGGAGGGGGGGGAAGTGCAGTTACATCAGGTGGGAATTAAGTTGTTATATTTGGTGTACTCCTGATTTCCCAACATTTCCATCAATAGCCTTTTAATTGGAACGTCCCAGTGCTGAGGGGGTGAAATTGTTCCTGAGGGGAACATTCGTGTATGCCGATGATCAGCTGGTCTTTGATGTCTCCGAGATTCTAACGTCGTGCTCACTGCGGACGCTGGAGCGTGACAGGGGGTGCTGGATTTGGCAAAGCGCCAACCCGTTCTCCACCTACTGTTGTCGCTCGCCCTGCTTCAACAGCAGGAGAAGAACTTGCTAACGTCAAACCCAGCTTCTCTGACAGCCTCCTGTATCCGGACAGCAGTGGACAAGACTGTGGTTATCTAGACTAAGAAGAAAGTTATTGTTGTCAGTCATCAAATGCTTCGATGGCGCGAGCTTCGTCTTCGTTATGAAAAGAAAAAAATCAAGCTTCTTCCAAGCATCCTTGCATAGCCTTGGCAAGTCGATAGGATGGGGCCGTCGCCGTCGCGCGAGCGCTCCCCAACTTTCCTGCAGACGTAATTCAAGTAAGCCGGCATTTGAAGCGCTCCCACAGCGCGTGCTTGGCCGGCACTCTTCCCTTTCCGCGGTATTTTCGCCAGTTGTCAGCTCACTTGTCCCCGAGTAACAAGTAGTTGCGCCTCTTATTCTCACACATCCTGAGCGTCCCATCAAGGTCCCAACGTTCAGCGTTGCCATACGGACTTTTCACGCTGGCTGCGAGACTTTTGGTCTAGCTTAGTTGCTTATGCATAATCGAAGACCCTCGTACACTTTCCACATTCGCCGGTCCTTGCAGTGCTGCGTACAGCTCCGTGAACCACGATAGCATTATTTCCGAATATCCCCAAGACCTGCATTCGAAGGTCCCCTATCAGCTCAGCTCGTAGACGCGTGCAATTCTCAGTGGCACCTCGTGAAGGAGCGAACACACCACTTAATATTTAGGCTACTAGCACGGCTCGAACATTAACAGGCAATCTATGGTTGTGTTCGCACAAGCTATTTTGTATTGTGAATTACCTCTTCTGTGATGAAATATTGGATTGTCGGAAAGCTGGGGTAAATTATGAGGCCTACTAAAATCGACAACAAATGCGTTTACCGCGTTGATTTCAGGTTTTGTCATCAACTCTGACTGCTACCTTTTTTACTGCACAGTCTAGAGTTACTTCACTGCCATACTTCTCTCCATTTCTCAATATTCGAATTTTGCCTTAGCTGAAGGTGTGGGGTGGAAATCTCGACCATTATGCATCAAATAAGCTTTTTCTTTAGCGCAGTGCTTTTCGTGCTTTTTTTATTAGTGAAAAAAAGTGAGGGGTTGGGGATGGAGGTGGTAATAAGCTGAATGAAGGTTTTACGTTGGGCCCTCCATCCAGAGGGGGGAAAACTAGACTTTCTAAAGCCAGATTAGGCAGGGGATAACAATCGCAAGAAAAAGAGATGATTCGCGTTTTTGGGATATAGAGAAATTGCTTTCTGTACACCGCTCGTCCCGGTTCAGACGATGAGGTCATTTTCATTTCGCTCCTTCACCTTGAAGTATCGAGGTGTCAAACCGAGACCTGTAAAATTTTGTGAAACCGCGAACTTATACCAGCGGAAATTCGTGGAGAAAACCTCGTCTGAAATGTACCTGTCTCCTAACGCATATAATACCATACAAATATCATTCAACCGTGGTTGCTCGACGAGCTTGCTCCAGCTTCACGAGGGTAAGACTTGGGAAGCAGCGGAAGTGCTAAATACCCCCCCCCACCTCCCTCCCTCCCTCCTTCCCTCCGCACCCGTCGCCGAACTGAGCCATGAGCAGAATTTGACGCAGCGGTATCATTACAGGAGTAACATGTGAAAGCTAGGGGAAGTAATGACTGGCAACACCCTTCATTTAAAAAAAGTAGAAGCTTCATTGTTATAACCAGAGTTATTATGCTGATTGTAAACATGTGATAACTTTCCGAGCTGAGCTAAGCTATACCAGGCCAGGACCAAACGCATATCTGAGTTCCGAAGCACCATTTGAACTGAATGTAAAACAAAATATGAGACTTCTTGAACGTATCCTGTGAGCTGTTGCAAAAGTAATCGTGTAATGCACATGTGGTTGAAATAACGCAAAAATAAGTGAAAGACAAAAAAGACAGAAAGAGCAAAGTGCATTATTTAACCCATTGCGTACCGCAGTGTATTTGCGCGACGCGATTTCTGGCGCGCTGAGTATAAAAACATAAGATTTTTATCTTATACATATAACATAAAAATATTGCACACACATCGTATTATGCATCACTTTTATAAGTATACGTATGCTAAAGGGGATTCAATATTGTTACGTGATGAAAGTGTAAAGCCGAAAAATGCGAAACTAGCCAAAAAAAGCTTGATAAAAATAAGAGGAGTTGAAAAAGTGACGCAGTGTGCTTAGAAGCTGTTCACTCACACCATTTTACAATTTTTCAGTCGTGTACTAAGCAGGATTTCGGTTTTATTGGTAAAGGAGAGTTAATTAAAAAATGTAATAGTTGAGGTATTACTCGAAAAATGCTAGCAACATAGCTATTATTCAATCTCGCAATTTCCCCCACACATATTTTGTCCCTGACGACTTCAGGAATATACCTACTCTTTCCAGTCATCTAACAATGCTAAATGAGTTCACACTAAGAGTGCTTCACCATGTG